CAAGGTAGGCAAGGAAACAAAAAATCATCCCATTCTCCACAAGGTAGAGAGGGGTGTCCAATATAGAACTACTATATTGTGAGGACTTCGATTACCTCTTTGTTTATTTATCTTTGTGTCTTGGCCGTTTTACTTGGAAAGATATCCTCAATCAGACAATCGTTAGGGAATCAAGGGTGGTAGGATGGAAATGGTTGTACTTGTCTCTCACCTCTGGGGCCGGTCTCGAGCTTGATTCCCAGACTCAGCATAGATCGGGTCTCTCCCTTGATTCGAGGGTTTTTCTCTGGGGTTCTTCAGCTTTACAACCTCCAAAACCTTACAAGCTAAATTCCAATTCGATCTGTGAGTTAGCCGTGCCATGACTTAGATCAGCCAAGAGATTGTTTCAGGGTTCATTCTGTGAGTTAGCCATGCCCTGACTTAGATCAGCCCAGAGGCTGTTTCATGGTTCTATCTGTGAGTTAGCCATGCCCTGACTTAGATCAGCCCAGAGGCTGTTTCATGGTTCTATCTGTGAGTTAGCCATGCCCTGACTTTGCTAAGCCCAGAGTTTTTGAGGACCATAATTAAGAATGATCAATTCTCTCTTCCCCATTTCACAGCAACTGCAGTAGCTCTCAACTCGATCATGGAGTACTCGCTGTAGGATACGGAACACACCAAGGAAAAGATTACTGGCTGGTCAAGAATTCCTGGGGAGCCGGGTGGGGTTTGGAGGGTTACATCATGATGTCCAGGAACAAGAATAACCAGTGTGGTATTGCTACCCAAGCCAGCTACCCACTCGTCTGATTGTCTGGCTGCTTTTATAGATGTTGTTTTTATCTTGTGTAGATTTGTACCATACACAAAAATATATAAAAGATGATTATTTGTGTATATTAAAGAAATTTCAAAACACTTCTTATTGGTGGTATTATACAATGTATCTGCGTATTTCTTTAAGCTATCTCATTACCTGAAATTTTTGGCGACATTACCTGAAAATTTCGTGAYTTCGGAGGTCCACATTTCGAGACTTTAATTTTCGCAATTTTTACATAAAATGATATTCGAAGTCACTTTAATTTCGAGGTTTCTTCGAATAAATCATTTATAAYTTGCTAAAAATGCCAAATGGTCTCCATTTAGTGGGATTGTCTTCATGCGCAACAAAGACGCAATCGTTGTCAAAAGTATAAACGAATCGTACTTTAGCAAAGATTGCTGCAACTTGTCTCGCAACATTTTTTCAAATTGCGCTGTAGGTTACACGCTACAATGTTCCATGCAACTTGTGTCGCAACGCCGTTGCGAGACAAGTTGCAGAGAACTTGCACCGGTGTGTAATCGCACCTTTAGTACATTTCTTTTGTCTTTCTGGTAGGAAGTGCGGGAAAGGTGGTAATCGAGTAAACGTAGTATCTCTCTGTCGTGGCGTTTCCCTTCCCTCGTGCTCCGCGCTCACTTCTAGTGTCACAAAGCGAGACAGTGATTGATGAAGGAGAGAGAAGGAGTTAGATGCGACGAACCATACGTTGTCTTCCATTTTATCGCATCAGGGTCCAGTTGTACGAAGGGTGGATAGCGCTATCCGACGAATGAATCTTATCCACTAAAAAAGAATTACTGGATAACAGCATCGACTTATTCTGATTCACTGGATAAGAATTTATCCGTTGGATAGCGCTATCCATCCTTCGTACAACTGAGCTCCGCTTAAGCAACATCCCTTATCCACTGACTTGAGGATGCATGCGCAAATAATATACCCCTTTTGCGGCACGGTCTGTGTTGTGCAAAAAAACAGTACGTTTGTAAGGCCTCTTTTCCACACCTGATAGCCGTTCTGCTTTGGGTGGGGTTGGGGAGGGGAGGGGAGGGGAGGGGAGGGCTAGGGATTGGAAACTGTATGGGATAGACTAAGGAGAGGGGAAACCGCGAATTTCTCTCGGAAGACAAAATCCTAGAAATTCCCTCTCCTCTCCAACGAAGAGCTTGTAGACAGGCTAGATACTGACTGCGTTCCGTTTTTGCATGCAATATTTCGCTTTTTAAGTGGTCGGCATGTGCTGTGCGTGTGATTGAAGCACCCAGGACAGTACTGACTACACCGCTCAATTAATCTTAACTCGTGATTACGCACACTGATAACACTAGTATCGATGCAAACCACGAGCGTACGACTTGTCTCATGACTAGGTAAACAGTTATGCAACAAAATAGTTACGTAACAAACGTATAGCTAATTCTAGTATGAATGGTGAAAAAATTAGTTACAGCGCATTTAGAAATAGAAAAACTCAAGTAAGACAATCTGGGAGGCGGTTGTTTTGCTCTCGCTGGACTTTTAATATTGGAAATCTGCGGTCTTTTTATCGTCTTGGCACTCGAGATGCCGACAACAGCGAAGTATTCTAGATAAATCTAATACAGACACTTTCTACCGACAGGGGAGGGATGGGGATAAGCTCTAGTCAGACAGTCATTCTGATGAAGATAAAAATAATAAAAGGGTAAATTTTTCACCGTGAAAAGATGAAAACACTTACTGACGTTACTTACTTACTAACTTAATAGCGTCCTAAGCGTCAGTAAGTTTTTTCATCTTTTCACGGTGTCAAATTTACCTTTTCATCATTACTGTTTCATTAGAAACACCGACGCAGCTCACACTAGTTTTTAGCTAGTTATATCTTCTGATGAAGATAGATTCATCTTTGACCTTTGTAGAAGAGAAATGGAAGACACTGTATTTCACTCTAGCTGAAAACATATGCAAGAAATAGGTCCTTTTTCCTATGGGGGTAGGGGGTAGGGGAAACATTGCAGATGCCTGAAATATCCTGAAACGCATAGTCATGGTGTTTGCATAACAAAAAGTCTCGTGACTTGCTCGCGTCAATCATTTATGATTGACAACCGGCAAATGCTTTCCAAGGCATCTGTTCCCAAATCCACGACATTTTTCTGCATATCTTAAAGGAAACCTTTACTTCATTCACATATAACATGCTGAAAATACCTTGAACTAATATACATAACTCTAATTTGTTTCTTTATATGTTTTTTGGGTCTTTTTTGCGTTCGTGAATTTCATAATCACATCATATGGGAATCCCTGTGTATAATCACGAGTTAGGTATGCAAATCRCGCGTCGTTATTGTCTGAATAATCTATTGAAATACAACCATGGGACAGTCATATGACTAGCAACAATGAACCGTATATAAACAACTAGCGTGCATGTCATTATTCATTCAACTTGGGGCAGATCGTAGGGTATATCTTCTAGATTTTTTTCTTGTAGTTTATCTTTAAAATTTTTCTGAAATGAAGCTTTTAGTTCTAGTTTGTGTTCTGTCAGTTGCTGTTGCTAATGGCTTCGTTTTGAAGTTTGAACAAGACGAGACTCAATGGCAAGCTTGGAAGAATTTTCACGGTAAAAAGTACACAACAGATTTAGAAGAATCGTCAAGGAAGGCAATCTGGAAAAATAATTTGAGAGTAAGTAAATCTTTTGATATAAATATATATATACATAACTTATTACGCGTAGTTAGCTGTATTCTTGATTGGATACCATTCAACTGYATCAAGCAAGAAGTTAGTTTTCAAGTTTCATTTAAAGTTTATTACCAGTTATAACTCTTTTTATAAACTGTGAGTGTTATGTAACAAAAGCTCAGTTGGACATTTTGCACATTATCTGTCCTTTAATTTTTCTCAAAAATCGTTTTTCCTAGATATCGTTAGATAATATTTRACTTAAAAATGGAATGTCAGAAAAAAATTTTTTCCAAAAAGAATGAAAATTTATCGCTGCCACGTGCTTAAGCACACAACAAAATCCAGGATGATCTCGTAGTCTTTAGATTTGATATAAAATTTTATTCTTATTTCTCGATTCACCCCTCGATTCCAATTGTAATATTCAAGGCATTTTTTAAACAGTTTATTTTCTTTGTTAGAAAATCACCCAGCATAATTCCGAAGGACACAGCTACACTCTCGCTATGAACCACCTTGGTGATCTGACTCAAGATGAATTCAGATACTTCTTTACAGGAATGAAGTCTCATTACAGCAACTACACTCAAAGAACTGGCTCTGCTTTCCTTGCTCCAAGTAATATTAAACTACCTGATGAAGTAGATTGGAGGAAAGAAGGATATGTCACTCCAGTCAAGAACCAGGGTAAGATTCGTATGGTTTAACYTATTCTAATATTTCAGTGTTTTGGTTGGGGTGAGCTGTGGCAGATTCAGTGGGATTGTTGGATTGTTTTAGCACATGAGTGGATTTTTTTTGCTATTTATTTACATAAAAGTTTATTATTGATTTTGTCACTCATCTTCTTCTTTTGGAATGTTGTTTACAGGACAATGTGGTTCGTGCTGGGCCTTTAGTACCACTGGTTCCCTTGAGGGACAACATTTCAAGAAGACAGGCAAGCTTGTCTCTCTGAGTGAACAGAACCTTGTTGACTGTTCCACATCTTATGGTAACCATGGATGCCAGGGAGGTCTGATGGACAATGCTTTCCGATACATCAAAGCTAATGGTGGTATTGATACTGAGGCCAGCTATCCTTATCAGGCAGAGAATGAGAAGTGCCGATACAAGAGCTCTGATGTTGGTGCCAMTGATACAGGTAAAACTGATATTTCATTGTGCAAGAGTGTATTRCTCATTTTTTTCCTACTCTGCCCCAATGAGCCTCTCAACCAGGAAACGAAACTCCATGTGTTCTTAATTGGCTAGTGTGATTACAGTTACATGTATTGCAATTGAAAGGCAACTTAATACTGATTATAAATGTTGATTCGCTTCTGATCAGGTTTTTCTATCTTTTTTAGGCTTTGTAGATATTCCTGAGGGAGATGAAAACAGCCTCAAAACTGCTGCAGGAACTGTGGGACCCATCTCTGTCGCCATTGATGCTGGACATATGTCATTCCAGTTCTATCACACTGGTGTCTACAACAACCCGTAAGTATATATTGCAAGGACCATGCAGCACCCTAAAAGGTAGGGAGGGGGGATGGTGCTAAGATTGGAAAGTATATAAGATTACAAAAGGAAAAAAGTAAGGGATGCTTCCTCTTCTGCAGTTCATGTATTGGAGTATCAATTTAATCAATACCCTGAAAGAACCTCTGGGCTGATCAAAGACACAGCACAGCTAAATCACAGATTAAATTGAAATTTAGTGTTGCATGTAGGTGTTTTTGTTTTTGAGGGAGGAAAACCAGATAAACCTAAGAAAATTAAAACCCTTGAATCAGGGGAGCGACCCAACAAATTCTACACACATGAAAAGACAAGTCTAGGAATCCTACCAGATACACCTGAGGTGAAGAGCATGTGCACAACCATTGCATCATCAGTTTAGTGAATGTTCTTATGAAACTTTTTTATGTATCTTCAGGCATAATGAGAWTTTTTTTCATATAAACAAAAGCTTGATTATGAAATAGTTTTCCAAGCAATCCTTAACACCAAATTTTTAAATTAGTTTTCCATAAAGTAATTAACCAAGTTCTTGTGTTATTCATCAGGAGTTGCAGCAGCACTCGACTCGATCATGGTGTACTTGTTGCTGGCTACGGAACATACCAAGGAAAAGATTACTGGCTGGTCAAGAATTCCTGGGGAGCCAGGTGGGGTATGGAGGGTTACATCATGATGTCCAGGAACAAGAACAACCAGTGTGGTATCGCTACCAAAGCCAGTTACCCACTTGTCTAAATTGAACAAGAATACACACGCACACACACACACACACACAAGAACTATAATTTTCTATTCATCTGGTTTGAAGAATCATATTTATATTCGTATGTTAGCTGCACATAATTTGAATATTCRCAAAAAGAGGACAGTGAGCAGATATTGAATTTTATAGGAGCAGCTGGTCTGTGATGACGAATTGACTTCAAGACTGAACTGTCATTGCTTGTTAGATTGTTTTGAAATCGTAACTTGAATGACCATCATTTTTATAACATTATTTTATTTTTAATATTTTGTTGAAAAGATTGCTTGTAATAAAGATTTCAAGTTTGAATTTGGAGATGTTTTTTATCATTCAATTGAAATTGAACAACAACAAATAAAAGGTTTGGGAAAGCCATTTCACTGTAAAGTGTTGTAAGTGTTGGAAAGCCATTAAAATGCATAATATCCCATATGCATTTCTCCAGGAAGCCCTTAAAATGTAAAATCTCACATATACATTTCTCCTGGAAGCCATTTCACTGTCAAGTGCTGTAAGTTCCAGGACTCCATTAAAATGCATAACGTCCTGTATGCATTTCTCTGGGAAGCTATTTATCCACTCTTCAGTGAGGGTGTTACAAACTGCTAACAAATTATTTCTACAGAAAATTGGTAAAATAGATCATTTCCATGTCAGATTGAAGAGGACCATTAAATGGGAATATAAAACTGGGATTTTGCATTCACATTCCTGTCAGTAAAACTGGAAAATGATGGACTGGGACTTGGATTAAATGAAGTAGATGGGAATGACATTTCTACCCCATAGTATCTAAAGGTAGATTTGTCATGATGCCTCTCATAGGTTTCTGTAATTAAAGTTTACAGCACTGTATTTCAAAAAAGTTATCAAAATTGGAATTTGAAGCATCTATTTTTAGATTAAGTTTCGTTCGCCACAACTGACACTTTTCTAATATTAATTTTCCCTGAACAGTCTGTCTCTGTCTCACCCCAAGAAATTCCCAAATTTTCCCCGCCTCAAACACAAAGTGGATTGATTTTTATCGCTTGTCATTCTTATCCAAATCGAGTAATAATAATTGGAGTCTAGATTCCAAACGTTCTTACAAAAATCCTAGTAACAGTGTAAAGATTTCTTGATTCAAAAGAGAAAAGAAGATTACTTCTGGATAGACTGCATGTCTGTCCAATTCGCAATTATTAGCTATACTTCAGTACTATTAATTTCAGTTATATTACCACCCGACCCCCGGGRAAAAAATGGGGTAAAAGTTAACCTACTCCACCCTAGAGGGTCCTGACATTGTCGATCAATATGGCCGCAGTGGATGCTGGTCGGGTGCATATTTCCCCTTCCTCTTTAAAATTTATCTTTAAAACCAAGAAGTAAAAGAAAAAATATTGGGAAAAAACTCAAAATGAGCAACGAGGGAGAAGTTGAAACCGCTATTGGGATCCGAGCTCCTATCGTTGGTTATGAAGTCGTTGATAGAAGAGAAAAATTCACGGTGAGTCGAAGGAGTTGTGACAGACAAGATTGCGTTTCAAACTCTGTACTTGGTTTTCTTGTGGTTTTGGCCTCTTTGTGGACGAATTAAACCCAAAACAAACCACTCTTGAGTTTTGAAAACATATGGTATTCTATTAAATTAGGGATATAAAGAAGCTACTTCTGTTGGAGGAGTGTTTAAAACACAACGTGACATCTTATCTTGTCCGATCTGTCCGCGCGCATTTTCAACCAGAATAAAAAAATCAAAACTCAAGATATACCGATTGATCGGCAGATTTAATTCATATTTTGAAAGTTTATTTTGTATTTCTTCTAATTACTGTTAACTTTGATCAGTAATGCACTTCGATTCCAAATCTATTCAATTCCTACAAGTTTTTGTTTGAACGACTTTCAATTGAACATAAAAAAAATGATTTAACAACCTTATGAAAAAAATTATTTAAATTTTTACCTTTCGTGATCAAGACAGTTCTCCCATACAACARAATTTACTCTTTATGTTTATATTATTTTGATGTTTAAACATCTAATTGACGTTTTAGGTATACAAGGTTCATGTGAAGGATAGAGATAGGACTTGGTTTGTTTTCAGAAGGTACACCGACTTTGTTCGTCTGAATGAAAGAGTAAGTTAGTTTTCTTGTAGATAATCAGCATATCGATTAAATTCACTAAACAGTACCAGTTATTTGGGTTACTTTTTTATTTATAACGACTCAAGACTAAACATTTTTTTGTTGGAATAAACCACTTCTCATTTGCAGTTTCCTGTTACATTCTTTCCCACCTTCTCTTACTTTATYATCATTGCTTTGATATCATTGCTATACATCTCTTATTAAATCTGGTGTCTTACGATTTCTCCAAAAATGCACTTAAATAGGGCTGGTGGTCCTTGGGCATCTTAAGGGTCTGTAAGGGGGGTTTGGATACCAAATCATGCGCTATTTTCCCCAAAAATCCCATGTCCCACGACATTTTGCCATCTGTTTTTCACATTCAAAATATTCAAAGGCGTTTGAATTTCTATTTTATTTATTAATGTTTTCACTTTTCCCCTGAAAATCAGAAAACAAAATCCCACATCCCTGACATTGTAATTTTACAATTGAGTMATTAGGAATTTTTTCTAGGTTCCTCTGGATCCACACTCTGTTTTATCCATTTCCTGGCTCCCGTGAAATCCCTTCCAGACGCTGCTTAATTGGTTATGAATACTCATTATTAAAGTGTGTCCATTAGTAATTGTTGTGTCGCAAGGAATAGCTTCATATAAGCTTTTCATTCAGATCTAAAACTCCCCTCGCTATCTCACATGATCTGTTATCTTGTTGAAACTTGTGGTAAATTATATATAACTGCTTATACTATTTATAGCCTAACAATAAGTTTTATGCATTGTCATTGGTTCAAAGGGGTTACATTGTACATTTTCACATGACAGATATCAGAGGATTAGTCCACTTCTGAATTGATATCCATCAAAAATATAGAAAAATCAATGCAAAAAATGAAGAAATATGGAAAACAAATTAGTAACTTCAGCTTGGTTATGAAATAAATAACGTGGGAGGAACAAATAAAGAAATGATTAGCAACTTGTTTTCTTTACAAACAAGCGAGAATGAAATAAAAACTGACTGGTCAAAGAAGCTATGGCAGAAAACACTCACAAAAAAGGCATCGAAAAGGTGGTTTCATATTTCTGTTAGTGGGATCTGTTCAAATAAAGTCATTAGATTATTTAAAAATGGCTCATGGATTTCCATCGACTATCCTCTTAGAGTACATACCATATATCCGTGAAAAAGCTAACTAACAAAATTGTAAAAATTAGTGCAAAGTTTTGTAAGTCTACAGTCTAATGAGGTCTACTAAACTTACTAATTTGTGCAATTTCATACAAAGTTTTTCATGGATATATGCACTCTATTGATTATAGTTCAATATAAAAATAAAAGAGAAGTGATCTATAGGAGAAAAAAAACCAGTTTGCCAATTAGCAAACCTTCCTGGTGCAGGTTTACATTATGATGTGTAGCTTTGGATTCTTAACATCAAGCGAATAGATTAATTCATTTATACTCTTCCAAATATCTTTCTGTAGTTAGAGAATGCATTCAGAGGATTCCATTTTACACTTCCCAGCAAGAGGTGGCTCAAAAACAACTTTGATCCAGGTATAATATAAATTATAAGCACCCTAAAATCCTGGGGGGGTACTCCGCCAGAATTTGGGTAGGGGTGTTCAGCTGGGATTCTGAAAGGGGTACCCTGTTTATGACAAAAAAACTCAAATTTCTAGACCCTGTTTATAACAAAAGATATAATTTATTGCGCAGAGTTCCTGTTTCAATATTATCATGTCATCTCGCGTATCATGTTTTTTACAACCATAATAACCAGTTTCGGTCAATACAAAAGTAGAAACCCTGAATATGACAGGAAACTCTGGAAGAACTTAGAACTTGAGACTTGAAATTGCATACCCTGTTTATGACAAGAAGCTCCAAAAACCATACCCTGTTCAGCGGATCATCCCCGTATAGTCTGTATGGGAGGACCCCCCCCCCCCCCCCCGGGCCTAAAATATGAATAGGCTCAGTTAAATAAACCAGTCCTTAAAACCCACATGTCATGCCGGAGTCCAGGTATCTCATCYGAGACTCGCCACCCTTGATTCCATAAAGTAACTTATTTTTGTAACTTTTATTCCAACCAGAATTCATAGAAGAAAGAGCGCGCGGTCTCCAATTTTTTCTCGATAATGTCATGCATCATACGACGATAAGTAGAAGGTGAGATATTTGTTGTATGTATGGAATAATTAAAATTATTGTGTTATTCTAGAATATATCCATACCCCCACCACTGAGGGACCCCCAGGAACTTTCAATTTTCTTCCATACAAACTCTGTAATTTTGTTCTTTCTCTGACCCTCTCCCCTCAAGAATTTCCAATTTACTCCATGGGTGGGGTATGGAAATTTTCTGGAACTACACATTAAATGGAAGTGCTGCTTTTGAAAATGGATCATTTTTTAGGCTAATAAACTCAATTTTTAAATTAAAAATATTGCAGTGATATTGTGAAACAGTTTCTCTGTCTGGATGATCCACCTGGCCCTTATGACAGTCTAGAAGAAAGCAGGGTATGTTAGTGAGTGACAAAATGTAAACTGTACTGTTGTTGGAGAGCCAACTGAATGATAATGCGCACGCATGCARTGATTGATTGTGTCTTACCATTGATTTCGTTGGTACGTGCTGGTTGAGAAAAGATTTGCGACAGGAAAATTGGGCAATACACTGCTATCAATCAGCCTATGTAAAGCTATCCAACAATTTATTTGATTGACAGCAGTTTCCATGTCATGACTGTTGTCTTGATCAGTGCATAGCAATGAAAACAGCGGTAAGACATGAATTATAGCAAGCAGAAATTTACAGTTTTATCATCATCATCACTTGTCATTCAAGGTGCATAAGGCCATTACAATAAAGATAAAATAAATGAACTTTAATCATAGAGGATGACACTTGAGAGTAGTTCAACTCAGTGATGAACTCCTGGTCCTCTTTTAATGTCTCTAGTTTATAAGGGACGAGGAGGCCATTAACATAGTCATCCAAGTTACATGAAGGTCTAATCATTTACATACAAAGGCAACACGTTCTCCTAAGTTTTTTTAAGACCCTGAGTGTTGATCCGGCCGAGGCTTGAACCATGACCTCCTGCACAACAGACCAATGCTCTTACCAACTGAGCTAACTGGGTGGCAATATTCACCCAACCTGCTCTACTCTGCACCATTTTGCTGATTTGCAGTTAAATTATTTGTGTTTTAGGCATATTGTCAACATTTAGAGGATGAGATTGAAAACCTAAAGGAACAGTTACGTGAAGCAGCCTCTGAGCTGAGTGCAACTAGATCCCAACTAGCTCAAGCCAGAGTTCAACAGGAAGCTTTGGTCAGTTCATTAAAAGAAGAACGTGCTACGAACTCATACAGAAAAAGTCTGACTCAGGAAACCAGCAAAGATTCCTTTAAACCAATAATGGATGGCCACAGGATTATTAGTAGGAAACGAAGCTCAGATTTAAAGAAGTCTGATAATATTCAAGAAACTGAAAGTACAGCAACTAAAAGCTCATGGGCCACTGATTTAGAAATAGCTGCACATTCTAAAGGTGTTGATAAGATCAAACCTACTCCAAGACGAACACCAGCAGCTATGCAACCGCTAACCTCAACACCCACAAAGGACTCTGATCTTGTTTCATTTACAGATAGTAATATATCTAGGGAGGGAAGCAGTGAAGAAGCTAGTGGAATTGATGCAGGGAAGGATATAAAAAAGGACAATGAAGCAACTGCAAGTAATCAATGTGATGAAAGTGATGATAAAGAAGTGACAGAGAATGATATATCTGAGAGTAGACCTTCTTCTGAACACAGCAATAAAAGAGATAGTGGTATTATACTGGACTCTCCTCAACCTCCGAAGTAAAATGACAGTTTTATAGAAGCTTGTTTTGAGTAGATGCCAATCATATGTAAATAGTGTTTAATGGTTAATGAAGCTCATCAAGTGGGGAGGCTTTCCGTCCACCCTGGCATGGCAAATTTGATTAGATTTAGGATGGACTATGGCACTTAAATCCTGGGGAGACTCCTATTCATAAAAGGGCGGGGATGCTCAGTAAATATTGAAAATGACCCYTAATGACCCCAGAGTCCTGTCCAGTTGAGAGTGGGGACTAATGAATTTTTTTCCTAAAAGATACCGATTATTTTTGATTGCCAATTGACAGAAGTCAGATAATGAACTGAAAATATATATTCTCAGTTACAACTGCCAATTTTGAATGTCATCATATAATCTCAGGTATCTTATTGCCTCAAAAACAACCTAAGAGGTACTGGCTTACTCTCTGGTAGTCCTTTTAGATTAATGACACCCTAAGAGGTGCCAAGTTGCAGATCTAGAACCCTAAAAGGTACAATGAGCATCCCTGTCCTAATTAGAGTCTCCCCAGGGACTTGCATATTGATAGTGAGCCTGAAATCTTATTTAATCATGCTTGAATTTAATCATGCTTAGATAATTAGCAAATTGTGAGTGTCAGGATATCGTTCAATAGAGATAATACTCCTTTTAACAGTTYCATTCAGTGACCACGAATAATAGTTCCTAGCCAAGGCTGGATTTTCCACGCATAGGAAAACTACAGTTTATCATGCGCAGTAAGTCCAGCCTCGGCTAGGAACTATTATTCGTGGACACTGAATGGAACTGTAAAATGGAGTAATTGTATCATTCACGTTTTTTTTTTGTTGTGATTCATAATTTACTGAGCTTTGAGACATGTCAACATGATGACATATCTAAAAGCTTTTTATATTTCTAGGAATATTTTTGTATTAGATTAATATATATATTGTTACTAAGTAAAATAATTTTAGGTTGAGTAGGTAAATATAACAGGGAGTTAAGGATAGAATGCAAAATGTTAATGTTAATTTGTGTTTTCTCAAAGCTTTTTTACAAGTAGTAATGTTGGGAGGTACAGAAGAAATGCTCAAACCTTTTTCTTAGATTTCTTTCTTAAATTATTTCTTAAATTAGTCCTGGAAAAGACCACTATCAAAAATATCAGATGCAAGGCTAACTGGAAAAATTCTAAACAAATGACACTTTTTTCCCTATGGATTTGTGACATTTTTTTGTATTTTTCAGCCACAGCTACTTCCATTTTAGAAATAGATAAAGAAATAGATGTGTTTAATGCTATTTGTTTTTGTGCTATTTCACAGATATATTGTTTTCACTCTAGCCTTTTGTGCAAGATAATTTGTGAAAAGGTATAGACTTTGCTACATGATCATATATTTGGACAATCAGTTTTTCAAAAAAGTCATCTTTATCATAAATATACAACTTATGACCAGCAAATTGAAAAGCCAGAAGTAAAAGGTTGAAGTAAAAAGTAACAGCTGTTTACTCGTAGTTTCAAATTTAGGTGACGTCACCTAAAACAGTAAATAACTTATCTAATTTAGTTGACGTCACCTATTCAACAGTGAGACTAAAAGCACTCTAAAAATAGCTTTGTTATTAAATTACATTCAGTTCTCAAAGCTCATATGGGCTTCCTGTGGGTGCTTGATCCGTGCTGGATCCCTGCCGTGATGCCTTGATCACGAGTCAGATCATGACATCCAGGCAAAGATTTTTGTTTTGCCAATGGTTTTGCCATGCCATGACCTGATCGCTTTAATTTAATGGCTCTCAAACCTCCATAGTCACAGAACCTTAATCGAGGTGTCAAAATGGCTGCAAGTGATGAAGACTCTTTGGAAAGATCTTTCAATTCAAGCTTTCGCAGTAGTGGGAGAAGAACCCTTCGTTCTGCTCGCTCTGTATCTTCATTAAATTCTCATGTACCTCAGGTTGATTCTTCGATCTTAGAGACTGTTACTCTAGAGCAACGAGACAAGTTCACGGTAGGATTTAATCTTTTATTTTGATGTATTTTTGAGTAGGGAAAAGCATTTTCGTCCACGTTTTTYCCCTCACGTGAATACAACAGCGTCATAACTGTAGTTCTTCGTTTGAGTAACCTTATTTGTACTTTTGAAATTTGTATAGCTCTACAAAGTCGTTGTAAACAATGGTGACACGAACTGGGTTGTATATAGAAGATATGGTGACTTTATGCTCTTGAATAAGAAGGTATGAATAGAAATTTTAATCAAAACTTAGGATGTTTGTGAATACGTATTTGTAAAACGTCATGTAACAGGTAACAGTTAATGCCTGTGAGGGCTTACACCTTTTTATTTATCAAAATACCAATTTATCACCTTTTTTCCCCTCTTTTCCTTTTCTTTTGTGTTTAATAGATTTAATTCTTTCATAGTAAGAGATTAGAGATCTAACAGTTATGAATCAACTTTTTAGCTAAGGAAAGCATTTCCACACTTCCGGCTTACTCTTCCTGGAAAGCGTTTTTTCAGAGACAACTTCAACAAAGGTACGAAAATTCATACGTTTTGATAATAACAACATCATAAAAATAAGATAAATAGGTTCCTATGCCACTAAGATACGACCTTGGGATTGAAGGAAAACTTTTAGAGAACCAAAAATGAAAGTGTTTTATCTTAGTTTAAATATAAACTCTAGAAATAAAAATGTTTATTTAAAACACTTAAAAGTGTCAATTTTTTTTTCCACATTAGCACTGATTTATTTGTCCTGTTCCTGTAAATTAAAATATAATAGCCTTTTATAGTCTCCAGAGAAGGTTTTGTACTAAAAAATTTAAATCTTTTTGATCAASGAAAAAAATTATGTAAATTGATGTGCAAGTAGTTTTTATATTTGAACAAATAATTCAAACAAATCTTTTTTTTYCTTTTAATTTAGTATGTAGTTCTTAAAACCTAAAGAAAGATCTTATACAGGAATTTAGAAAAAAAATAGAATATTATATATAGGAATCTGCATGTATTTATAAGTTCAAGGAATCAGCTTTCCTTTTTAGCCAATCAGAAAGCYGGTAACATTTGGACCTTTACTGATCTCCTATCAAGGCTAATATTATTAATGTTCTTCATCGACATGGCCCAGGATCTCCATGTACTAAGCAATTATTGGAAAAGGTTGATTTGTTAGTGGTGAGCAAAGGATTATTTGGCAGAGGCAAATAATTGCTCGCTAGACACTAACAAATTGCAATATTTCGTTCAATAATTGTTTTATTGTTCAAATTATTTTTTTTGTTTTCTGTTTGTGCTTTGATTGTTTTTGCTATCTAACCAACATACCAACTCATAGGGAAGCTAGCCTTGTTGACAAATGCAACGTTATTGTGCATGAGCAGAGTATTTTTGCAGTAAAATGGCTTCGCTCTGTAATGTGCATGAGYAGAATGTTATTTGAAGGCAGTTATTTGAGTTATCTCAGCCAATCAAAACAATGGAAACAGCTTCATCCATGCCGTGTTCAGTTATAATGCATGCAGGAAGTGAAGTGTGCAAGGATTGTGAAGAAAAGCTTGAGCCATAGGCAAGGGCTTCTCACATTTCTTGAGTGCTTGAACACAGAAAAAGCTGTTTAATTGTTTTTATTTTAGAACGCGAAGAAAAGAATACTTGTTGTAATTTTCCAATGCTGTTTTTTTATACAATTCTTTGCAAAGATTGCACTATTAACTAGTATGGGAAGCATGGGTGGTGTAGCKGTGAGAGCGCTCACCTTTCACCAATGCAACCCAGGTTTGAGTCCCGCTGAGCTCGGTGTCATATGTGAGTAGAGTCGTTTGTTGGTTCTCTCCTTTGCTTCGAGGGTTTTCCGGGTTCTCCAGCTTTCCTCCCTCCACRAAAATCAACTCCTAAATTCCAATTGGAATTACAGTGGATGAATAGCTACTCTGTAGAAATGCCACTGTTGAATCCCATTTATTTTTATTTTATTTTTATTTATTTATAAAGCACAGTTCTTGACAATAAGAGTGTGGGTAATGAATAACATATATTGATTACAAAAAATCCTTGCAAAGTTATTTGTATTTTGCAATTTTGAGTAGATATTACAATTTGTTAATTGATTTCTAATAAAATTTATGTTATAGTTACAAATATTAAATTTATATAGTCAAGCAGTGACATAGCAGACCCCCAAACATGTTTTACTCCACCTGTAGGGTGTTGGGTATTAATGGAAAAAGTGATACCTCGCCACACCCCTGCAATCAATATTGTGTCATGAAAACATATGTCATACAGTAGATAATGACTAGTTTTGGAACTAGCTTGGACTGCGTCAGTGTTTTTTAGTTGAAACAAATGTGTTGTAGTAGATAATTTTATCACCGTAGGTACAATAGTCTACTATCTTTYGTACCTACAGAGATAAAATTATCTACTACRACACATGTTGTACAGTATTAATTATTATTTAATCTTTTTAGAATTTATTGATAGACGACAGCAAGGGCTTGAGGAGTTTATGTGGAATGTTCTGAGCCACAGAGATCTTGTGCAGTGGTATGTATAATGCATTATTGTAGTTTTGTGGCTGTCTCTTGTTTAGTAAAGTTCATTCATGTATTGTCTTTTTGTGTCATTCATGCATTAAGTTGTATTTTCCACTGGCTGAGAAACGAAACACACTGGGGCCTGGGCCGAAGGATATTAGTCACGTGGTCAGTGTTTTCATCAGTTTCTTTTTCGCTGTCTGCCATGACTGTTAATTAGCCCCACAGTACCCCCCCACCCTAGGCCAGCATTGCTGGAAGGACTTTAGAGTAGTTTTTCGTGGAAACCACGTTGCGATGATAAGAATGATGTGTTACAGTAATGCATATGTTGAGTTATTCAGAAATAAAGAAGTCAGTTGGCGGCGGTCAGCTGGACAATAGCTCCCAGTGGTGTGTGAGAATTGTGTCTTAGTTAAATTGCAGCTCTAGTGTTTAGTAATGAAGAAACAGAAAACACATGTGTGTGCTGTGATGCAGTTATAAATTAAAGCGGGCAGGGGTAATGGCGGAACACGAGAGACATGTTAGGAGAARAATGACAGAGAGTGCTTCTTTACACTTCTCAAGTGTTCTGCTATTTCCCAAGTGCTTTATAACTGCACACAGCACAGCACAGCAAGCAAGTTTTTCAATTTCTTTTATAAAATACAAATTACAATAAGCATTATTTTGGATAGGAATTATGCAACTGAAAGTATGTGTGTGCTGTTTGCTAGCTCTCATAAAGCACGCACTCCCAACCAATCAGAATGCCAGATTTATAACGGTTATTTTATATTGTTCATTCATGCATTGTGTCTTTTTGTGTCTATTGTGTCTTTTAGTAATGACGTTCAGAGGTTCTTTAGGCTTAATAATCCTCCACAACCAAATGAATGTTTGGAGTCATGCCAAGTAAGTAGTTTTCTAGAGTTTGCATGCATTGTTATGGTTATTGTATCTTAATAGACAACTTTTTGTYCATTGTCTAATGCTTTATCAGGGATGCTATTGTCCTTATGGATGCATGGCATAGGGATTGTCTTAGTATTAATCTGATTATCCTTATACTCTTGTGGYTCCAAGGGCTATTTGTTTGTTTGATGTTTGTTCCATATCAAACATTGAGTGTGGTATTTCCCTGTGTCTGTTGTCTGTGAGGCAGACCCACGAGTAAGCATCATCCCGTATCCTTCTTYGATTTTCCAAAGTTTTTTTTACTTGTCTTTTTTTCTTTTCTTTTCTTCTTCAAAAATGTTCATGTCGAATTCATCATAAAGTGACGGTCTTTTTGTTTGCTGCTTTTCCGCATAATCCATATATGGAATTGATCATACCATATATGGAGTGAGCTTTCTCTACTACAACTTCAACACTAACATATAGAGTAAAGCTTGATTTATTTATTTATTTTTTTGCCTCAAGTTTCGGGGAGAGAGGAAGGATTAAAGAGCGAGAGAGGGGGAAAAGAGGAAGGGAGAGAGAGGGAGAGAGAAAGAGAGAGAGGCCAGGGAGGGAGTCAGTGTCTGCATGCAATTGAGTTCATTGTTCATATTTTGGTCAATTTTTAATTTCAATTCTCCTCTTCTTCCAGTCATATGCCCAATCATTAGAGGTTGCTCTAGCCAATCTAAGATATAAACTAAGAGATCAAAATGCTGAATTGACTGCTCTAAAGACTGAAATAGCCCAAACAAAATACCAAAAAAATAATGTTGAATCTATGTCAGAGAATGACCAAAGGTATCGCAATATGGTAGACAATGCTACAAAGGTTAGTACACAAATTGATAGATAAGATTAAAGAGRTGTCTGTCTTATCTGGGTGTCCACTGGGAGAGGTTTTACTGTAGTCAATTTTTTTGAAATCACTGTGCAAAAAAGTGAAATCAATATGCCGAGAGGAAAAAAAGAAAATCTTTGTTCAAAGAACTTTCGATGGTCATATTATTGAAAGAACATTAAATCGGTTGTTGTGCAGTTTGAAAGTATATCAGTATTTGGTTTCATATTTCACCATGGTGTCTGACTCAAGTTAGATTCCCTCGGTTTTGTTGAGAGTTTTAGTCCAAATTCACTGGTTCCTATAGTTCTACATGCGTAAAAAGCAACACAAACTATTTTGAAAAAATCACTATGCCTCTGGCTCGTGCAATTTGGAAACCTTGATTTTGAACTGCACTTGTCATTTTTTTTTCAAACTGCACTCGAACCCATTGGATTTCATATACAAAGARTAGCTAGCAAATGAGAGATTGCAATATGGTTATTCGACTCATAAGCAAATCCATTGTTTTAGTATGTTCAATGCAAACTAGGTCAATAGTTGTGGTAATCAAGGGTGACATAGCTGTAATGCCCTACAACTCACCTCTGTGGTCTCAGGTTTGATTCCTGGACTCTGTGAATGCGAATTGAGATTGTTAGGTCTCTCTCTCCTTTGATTCAGTAACTCTTGCTCTGGGGTTTCCACACAATAAATTCCTATTGGATCTGTAAGTGTGTGTGATAACTTTATTAACRCATGTATTATAACACTTCTAAGCTGAAATGTTTAGGAGCCCTAGATCTTGCACTGCTTTGAACTTTGGGAAGCATGGGGTGGCGTGTGCTGCTAATGTGCTGCATCTCACCAATGCAACCYGGGTTGAAGTCCTGCCRGACATGGTATTGTATGCATGTGAGTGGAGTYGTTTGTTGTTGGTTCTCTCCTGTGCTTCGAGGGTTTTTCACTCCGGTTTTTCCTCCCTCCRCAAAAATCAACTTCTAAATTCAAATTCGATCTTTTGGCTGCCTTATCAATTGGGTTGCAAAACCTGTTAGGCATTAGACTGTTCACCCTGGAGTGGTAAATTCATTATATTTCCCTTCCCTTTTGAAYTGTTCTTGAGCAAAATCATTATTTCTTTTATATATGTTTGGTTCAGGCACTCAAAGAGCAGCTACACATAGCTCAGGAAAATGAAAGGAGAGCAAAAGATGAGCTACAACAGCTGAGAGAAGAAATCAAAGCAGAAAGAGCATCAGTACATGCAGCAAGATACATCGACAGGCAAGAGAGAGAGTCAAGATTGAGGAATGACATGATGAACTTTCACCAAGCACAGCAACAAGTGGATARCAATATCAATGAACTAACTAATGCTGCTAGTCATTTACCTCCTGTAAAAATAGAAACAGGGGGTAAAACCTATGGTATGTAGCTATAGTCATATCTTGCATTGCAATACACCCATTATTAAGTCTTGGGGTGTGGTACACCTATGGGCTTTCTGTGGTTGTCTTGGGGTGTGGTACACCTATGGGCTTCCTGTGGTTGTTTTGGGGTGTGGTACACCTATGGGCTTCCTGTGGTTGTNTTGGGGTGTGGTACACCTATGGGCTTCCTGTGGTTGTTTTGGGGTGTGGTACACCTATGGGCTTCCTGTGGTTGTCCTGGGGTGTAATACAGCCGTGGGCTTCCTGTGGTTTTCTTCGAGCCTGGTTCATTGGGCTTGTTTTGGTTGATTGGCATATTTTTACATTGCAGAGGTGAAGGTAGATGATGATATCTCAAAGCAGGTCTTGGCTCTAAAAAAGGTAGGTGTATAAATATTTGGTTTCATATTTCACCACATTGATGTYGGACGCAAGTTAGGTTCCCTCGGTTTTGTCAAGAGTTTTTGTCCAAATTCACTGGTTTCTCTAGTTCTACTTGCGTAAAAATCAACACAAACTATAAGCTTGCAGTTCCAGAAATTTTCCTGTCTTCCCCACAGACATAAAGCCAAAAGGCTGATTGACATAGCCATAACATCTGGCATCCTGGTATCGATAGCATCAATAGAGTGGTACTCTTCCACTGGCCCCAGATGGGATGTTAGTTGGTCATAGGTTAATCTTAACCCAACAATTTGCTGGTACCCATTTATTTACTTGGATAGATTGAGGCACTTTGAAAGCATCTTGCCCAAAGTCCCAACCCAATATGTTTTTCTTCTGATTTTTTGTCATGCCTGTTTGTTTTAGGCCCTTGATGAATCAAGACATGAAATTCAAAATATGCACAGAAATGCTTTAGAAGTAAGTTTATGTTCAAAGTCATACTGGCATCATGTAACCAATATACCTTTCCCAAGATATGGCCAGATGCACATGTACCAGCCAAAGCCTCGGTTTGGATACCTATAATAGGGGAAATAAGTATTGTTACTAACACACTCTTAACATGACWTAATTTTATTGGATCAATAATTCATTTGATATATTGGCGCCTTAGAATCTTTGATTGTTCTATCGTCCAATAGGAAAAAAGCTGCTGGCAAGTAAAATAAGTTTCCTGAGTGCTAGACTGTATCTTGAGAAAGGTCTATGATAAGAAAGCTTTTCAGTGCTGATTTTCCTTTTCTTAATCCCCATCCCAGTTGATGGAATAACTTTTCTCCAACACAAAAATAAAGAATAATTGCAGTTTCACTATTGTATGCTTAAGGACCAGCATCCAATATTCATGGGAGGAGGGAGAGAGGGATAGTATAGGATGGACAAAAAAATGAAAATGACCTAAAAGGGGGCTGAAAAACAGATGTATAGTAGGTTATTGGGGAATTTGAAAAACTAAAACAAATTGCCCATTTGCAACAAACAGTCACGTGTTGGTATATCACTTTGCTAATGAATCAATTCAGACAAAGGTCCCTTGGGGAAGGCTTTGCTGGATGGCAAACAAACTTAAAACGCTCACATCTTGATATGGAAATAATCTTATTAGGGGAAAAAAATATTTTTGAAAAAGGTTTGGATATGACATAAGTAATCCAACAAAACTGAGCTATTTAMAAAAAGGAAGTCCGAAATTTTTGGCAATCAAGTAAAAGTCTTGTGAATATGTCCTGCAAATGGCCTATTCCTCACCTACCATGTTCTTCTACAAATAGTATATGATTCCTGGCATGATAACTTTTTACTGCAAAACGTTTATGACTCTCCCTTGTAGCCATAGGAGGTGAATGATATCATGTCGATGTTTGTCTTTACTTACCTTTCAGATGTACAGACAGGAAGCAGAARATCTTAAAGCTGACCTTCAACGAGAAGCATATCAAAATCAGGTACAAATAAGATTGCAAGGTTTCTCAACCGCCACCCAGTTTAAGCTTAGTTGGCTAGCTCAGTTGGTAAGATTGTCAATCTGTTGTGCATGAGGTCGTTGTCCAAGCCTCGGCCAGACCAACACTCTTAAAATGACTGAAGAGAAGGTACTGCCCTTGTGATTACATCTGCAAATGGTTAGACCTTCACGTGGCTCGGATAATCACGTCAATTGTGATCTCGTCCCTAATCAACTAGAGACTTTAAAATAGGACCACGAGTTTATCAGTTAAAATAGTGTCAGTGTTCTCCCTTTCTAAACAAAGTTAGTTTTTTTAACCTAGAAGGCTCACTGGAAACGTGTAGCAGACAAAAATTATCCCTTTAGTGCAATATTCGACTTGAGACTTTTTTTTAATGTGATTGAATAATTTACAGGAAAGGACTAAGCAAGTAAATGAACTTCGTTCACAATTTGAGCAACTACAATTGGAATATCGTGCAGCACGTATGGTACGATTRCAAGGGTTAATTTTGTTAAATGTAAAATTTAATTAAACTCTTACAGTGTTTCATTGTCAAGATATTATTTATTATTTATATTATTGAAAGCAAAGTATCTGTATTTTTTTCAGTAAAGCTGGTTTGTGTTTCATCAATGTAAAAAATAAAGGAAAAGAAAAGAAAGAAAGATTGGATGGAGAGTGACAGTGCGCGCGCGTGCTGTGTGCTCTCATAAAGCACGCGCTCCCAACTAATCAGAATGCGAGATTTTGTAACTGCAGTTATTTCATGAAGAAATACAAAATACAATAATAGATAGGAATGACGCAACGGAAAGTGTGCGCGCGTGCAATGTGCTCTCATAATAACGAATGGTATCTCAAGTTTTCTTCACATTTCAGAAACATGATGAAAATATAAACGATATTCAAAGACAATCAGCTGAAAATCAACGATATGCAATAGCAATAGAAGAGGTAATTAACAAACCAAGACATAACTAGAGATAACTAGCTAAAAACTAGTGTGAGCTGCGTCGGTGTTTCTAATGAAACAGTAATGATAAAAGGATAAATTTTACACCGTGAAAAGATGAAAAAATGAAAAAAACTGACGTTTCGAATGTTAGTMCTTCGTGGGAGTAAAAGACGAAGGACTAGCGTCCGAAACGTCAGTAAGTTTTTTAATCTTTTCACGGTGYATAATTTACCCTTTTATCATTACAAGATATATTCAAATGTTATATGAATAAAGTGTACAGTACGTTGATCCACTGTACAGAGATGACGTGTCGTAGTTCCGAGTTTAAAGGTTATCTCTTGTTTATTTTTACATAGAAATACTTTTACTCGTTGATTATTGGAGTCAAGCTGAACATGGCGATACGAGGCACTCGAATTCTACACATCAATCGACTAAACCCAATGGTAAGACTTAGGTGTTTACAAAGCCTTGCTTAAAATCCTTACCAGYCATGCAAAAAGAGTAACATACTACGGCTAGTCATATGGTCGTTCAAGAAATTTTTTGACAAAACATTGTCATCTTGTTAACTCAATTTTTGTGAAGTTCAACTGGATCTGGTGCTGTTGCCCTAGACAATGTTCCTTGCAGTTTGCCTCGCAATTTTGTTGTACAATAAAAGGGTGGTTGCAATAGCACTAACAGAGGATTTCATTAAAGAAATAGAAAAAGCACGCGGGGATTGGCAGAACACGTAGTAATCCAGACGCTGTCCCCTTCTTTGACCGCTCCGCTTTTCTTGGGCCCAAGAAAAGCGGAGCGGCCAAAGGAGTGGACAGCATCTGGACTAGACACGTAGCAGAGTGCTTCTCAACATTCCTCAAGTGTTCTGCCAATCCCCAAGTGATTTATAACTTCACAAAGCAAGTTTTTTATTTCTTTTATAAAATATCAGCAAATTAKAGTAGCCGGTATTTTGAAAACGAATATTTTCTATTGGATAACTGTATAGTTTCGCTTTTTTTGTAGACTTTATTTGAGAGAGTTAGGAATYATGGAATAGCAATCGAGCATTGGCCGAGCTGGATATCGCGTGAACTGGCAACAGCGTCAACGTTTGGAGAGGACACACAATCTATGACTTAACCCGAGAATTTGAGTACGGTACGGGAGGGTAAATTCACGATTCATACATTTTCTGTAGAATATAAAGAGTTATTTATCAATCAATTTATAATGTAGTATCTTATAATGAATTTTAACCCTCCTTAAAATAGGCAGCGCGTTGAATCAATATGCCGCATTGTTGCTGGTTTTTTGACGTTAAAATAAATATGAAAATCAATGTAACTTTTTATCATTATCAGCCTGTGAACGGTAAATCATACAGACTGTTGGTGATGCTAATTGTAAAAAAGGAAAGGTCCCGTGTTTTATGAAGAGTACAGTGCTACAAATAGGCCATTCCTGGCATTTTATCTTGTTTGGAGGCTCTGCTTTTCATGAATCTAATAATGATTGTAGGTAGAAAATATAATTGTAGGAATAAAATGCGCGCGCTATAATCCTTTGACAAGTCGAGGGGTTGTGCCATTGTAACAACTTGCTTCGTGTTTATCAAGAATTATATTGATAAAGAAATTATCTCTTTTTAAAATTGTCAAGAGAATTAGGACCAAGTCGATGGGTATTTATTCAGATCTCAAACAATCTCGTGTGGGAGAAGCTTTTATTAGAGTGGTTTTCTTATGTCYATGAAAAACTCACAGTAAACGGTTCTGCGCAGTTTTATTGGCCAACCAATAATTTGGCGCGCTGTCATTGGTTCAAAAAGTATCGCCAATTCCGTGCCGTGCCGTGCATTTTTAACTCTATTAAATTACAGCGCACGGCACGCCTTTACTATGCGTTTTTCAGTCATATCGAAAACTGCGCACATTTCATTCGTGTTTCTTTATTTKACTGGGCAACAAGCTAGTTCGGCCTCACAGAGAATTATCGTTCTTAATTCAAATCATTTGTATATAACGCWTCAATTATAAGAATTACGATATTTTTAGTGTATTATAATTTTGTTGTTAATCAAAATTTCAATTAAAAATAAAATTGACGCTACATGAGTCGATCATTTTGTTCAAAACAGAAACCCTAACTTTGAAGAAATAAATCAAAGTGATCCAACATTTCGACTACGAATCGTGGAAGTAGCAGTTTTTCTAACAGTTTTGTCGTGTTTATCGAGGCATATACTATAAAATTGGTATGCCCAGTTTAGACATAATTGTCTAGAACATTTTGGTGCAAGAGCAAACACAACCCGTCTATCTGCGCAAATACAACGTCGTGTTAGGGCTTGTGAGATCAAAATACTCTGAGAAAAATGATCCTTGTCAATACTTAATTAAATTTTTAAGTTGAGAATTTAGTCACATTACAAAACCAAAATGAATTTTTGAATATTTCATTTTTTAATCTCAAATACAGCACGTTCGAATTCACTTTTTTATTTTGGGGAATGACATTTTGAAGATAACACGTCTAAACACAAATGACCCTTGTTTAGGTGCAATATTGTCTATTCAAAATCTGAACATATTTTAAGCCACTTCCTTTAGTTTGCTCGGGTCTTTCAAATGAACGGAAATCAAAGAAAAATGGCCTTTGAAAGACAGCGCAATGCTCAAACAGGTTTCAGCCCTTTCTTCAAACGTCTGCTTTTCATTAGAAAGAGTTTTTGGTATTCATGTTATTGTAAATAGTTTGTCCGCACAGTCAGATAGACTCAACGCCCGGAAGATGGTAGAAGATGGACATTTTTTCCGAAAAACGTTTGGCAAAATTTACATTAAAACGTATTTCTAGTCCCCCACCCCCCTCTGCGTTTAACTTTCCCTCTCCAAAATAACATCTCAATTAAATTCCAAAAACGCGCTATGATTGGCCAAATCCAGGTCGACTATATTCATCACAACATTATTTAAAAAATAAAGTMCAATATTTTGGTAATTTATTTAAAACGTGATAATTAATCTGTTTCGAAACTGCTCCTAAATATCAGCGTGTTTTAAAGGAACGGCCTATGAGGCACTAAAAGGAGATTTGTTGTGCATTAAACTGACAGATTGATCAGATCTAGCGGGATTTTTTTGGCAGATATTTTTACACCGACATTTTTGAGGCTCGGGTTTCTTTGATAAAACCAGTTGTTCGCTACGGATTGTGGGATTTCCTTCCAGCGACATGGCGGAGGTGGAAACGACTAAAGACGTGCCAGCTACAGCCGAGGTTGAGGCTCAAAATGAACCCCAAGAAGAAACAAAACCAGCTCCTACAGAACCTGAACCTGAGGTAGAGACAATGCGTTGTGTTAGACTCAATGGTCATGGCGGGTATGGGAAGCTAAAAGTCGAAAAACATCCTAAACCCAAGGCCACTGATGGAAATGTTGTCGTCAAAGTTCACGCATGGTGAGAAATTCTTGAATTCTTTTACRCTCGCTCTCTTGAATTTTTAACTCTTTCGAATGAATTATTTTAAACTTTAATTAATTGTGTAGCCTGTCGCTGCATGACTCTAAAGGTTTTGAAGTTTTGAATTAAAAAACAACGTTTTGTAGAGTCAACTTCAAGAGTGACAAGAAGGGTGGGAGGGGCTGTTTTGAATTTCATCTACACCTAGGTTTTCCCCTCTTTACAAAATCTTGATGTTTAAATATTCATCTTCAAGGTATATCGTATTATATGCCTCGAATTCAAAGAATCYTGGGGAATGATATCTAAATTATTTCAAACACGTATGAAATTATTTTGCTTGTAGCAAGAGGACTGTAAATGTCACGCTAAGCTTTTTCATAAATTTATAAATATTTTCATAGATGACACGCGTGAGGATATTTAATTTACCTATTATATGTTATTGTTCTTTTGTTTATAGGTCTCTTTAATCTAAATTTCTTTGTTAAATGTAATAATCCATGGGTTGGTTACATACCATTAAAAGCATGCAAGAATGCATATTCGAATGACTGATAAATGAATCTTATTATAAGCTGTCTACCAGCTTTCATTTGGATTAGCTGTTTCAGTTAATATTATTCATCATTATTTCCACCTTCAGAATTATTCCGAAATTATCTTTAGTCAAATAGACACRAGAAAAAACAATGGCTTTAGGGTCTATTAAATTTCATTACTCTATTAAAAATTTATTTTACTGATTTAGTGACTTCACTCTATTGGTAGTCAGGAGTATTACTCTTGGTTAATTTGAGCAGTGATCATTCAACAAGTCCATATTGCTTTTCCTCTGATGAAATATCATACTGATTCCCAACATTGTCATCTTGAATTATAATGACTTAATCTGGGAATATTATTAGAAGGTCTTGAATACAAGGGTGCTAATTTCAAGGGCCCAGATTTAAGTCATGTTTACAATTTGATTTCATTTATTTAACAACTCACTATAGCAGTGGARACTGAGGGAAGGCACTTAAACCTTCCGATTTTTCCTGTTCTGTAGTTTTTAAAGTAAATATATTATGAATTAGAATTAGAATGCATTGCTATATAGTACTAGTGTAACCATGACTGCATGCATTTCAATGCCATGGTGAGCCTTAGATTCGAAAATATAGCATTTTAGCCATATAGCGATGAACATGGTCTGAAACAGAAAAACATTACCCATTGAGTTTGGTTTTGATTTTGGCATTTTAACATTGTGTTGCTCTAATATATGCAGTAGCTGATACTATGGTATTGTTTTGTGTATTCTAGTGGGCTGAACTTTGCAGACCTAATGCAGCGGCAAGGTTCATACAGTGAAGCACCAAAGGTACCATACACTCCWGGTCTGGAGTGCTCTGGTGTTGTGGAAGAGATAGGAGAACATGTCACTGGAATTGAGGTGAGATTCGAGCTAAGAATRCTAGATTGTTATCAAATATCATTTTGAAAGAGAACATGAGTGTTGATTGGCTGGTATAGTGTTTATACAAAAACAAAAACAAAAAACACAGGGACCTGTTTGCACAAAAGGGTTAAAAATATATTTGAACAAAATAATGGACCTTTATGACCGGCATGACAGCCATGTTGTCTAGAACAATAGATTTCCCCCCCCACCCAACCCCCACGTGGTTGTGCATCCAAGTGATTCAGGATGAGGTTTAGAGTTTATTCACATGGGAATAAGCATGGCACCATGTAATAAAAGTCCATATAAAGACCCAGTTCTGATTTCAAAAGACAACTTGACTCACTGAGGTCATCATTCAACTAATTTGCATGCTATCATTGCTGAATAACATTAATATGTAAAGCTTACATTTCTGTGCCAATTCATAACATGCATTGTTTTTTTCATTGCATCATTTTCAAATTTGGGTGCCCTTGTTCTGGGGTCGGGGGGGGTGGGGATAACTTCGGCCAGTTTTGATAGGGATTGCTATTGAGATTATCAAATCTTGCTGGCCTCATGCTCCACAGCTGSCAGTGTTTTTAAATCACAGTACTGAGATATGCATATGTTTAATGTTATTTAAATATATTTTAATATGACAAAAAAAAGCTATCTTTATTCCTTTAAACTTGGTGGGGTATGCTGCTAATGCATCATCTTTSTCAGCTGTGAGTCAACGGGTCGGGTCACTGGTTCGAGCCCTGAGGTCGCCACATGTGAATTGAGTTTATTTGATGTGTTGTTCTCTCCTGTGCCACAAGGGTTTTTCTCCTGTTTTCGGTTTTCCTCCCTCCATAAAAATCAACATGTGAGTTGAGAATTGTTTGTATATAATATTCGAATGTAGTAAGGAGTGTGTATATAGGATACACGGCCCCACAAGGTTCTAGCTTTAAAGCCTACCGTGTATAAATAAAAAAGATTGATTTTCATAATAAAAATGCTTATTTTTGCCACACCCTACTTTTGGTTGGAAACAATTTCCTTCCTGACATTTTCTACTCTAAAAGGTGATAAATAAATAGGGTATATCAACACACCCTCTTCCTGCCCAGAAATGCCTTGAACATTTAGAGAGTCATTCATGTATTAGAATGCAAAGTTTGACTTTAGTTTCTGGGTGAACCAACCTCTTCAATCAAGAAAGAAACCTATTTTGGATGAAAATCAAATTTATTCATTGCTTTCTACTGTATACATTCCTTTTATAACCTTTACTTGGGTTTTCCATATTCTGCGAACTTGGTAGTTGAGAGCTGCATGAAGAAATTTTATTTTTCACTGCTGTCAATCAAAAAAAATCAGTTTATATCTTTTAGGTTCTTGACTGGCAGCAGTGAAAAAACAATTTCACAACAAGCCGTTGGAATRTCTGAGTTCGAAGAATATGGAAAACTGCAGAAATTTTATAAAGCCCTGAAATGACCTCCAATGAAAGTCTTATCAAAGTCAGGCTACATGACATGATTAGATTATTATAGATTAGAGAAAATTGATTTATTTATTGCTATTCTCTTTATGTGCTTTGTGACTCAGAGTTTAAATCTTTTAAGCTCGGCATGATTAGGAAGTGGTCACATATYACTGATTATCTGAATTCCCACTAAACTATTTACTGTCTTATGCACATTACAACTGATAATCTTTCACGATTTGGAAAGTTCAGGAAACACATGAACTTAGGCTGCGTTCATGACGTATGGCAGAGGGGGGGGGGGGGGGGCAGGTGAAATTGAGGGGGGATCGGGAAAATTTTGATAGGAAAAAGGGGAAATGGGCAAATTTTTATCAGAAAAAGGGGGGAGGAACAATNGGAAAGTTCAGGAAACACATGAACTTAGGCTGCGTTGGGGGGGGGGGGGGGGGGGGGGGGGGAGGGGGGCAGGTGAAATTGAGGGGGGATCGGGAAAATTTTGATAGGAAAAAGGGGAAATGGGCAAATTTTTATCAGAAAAAGGGGGGAGGAACAATTTTTGGAAGAAGCTATGAGCCTTGCTTAGGGGGGATCGTATTTTTTGCATGACTTTAAGGGGGGATGTTAAGAATTATTCTGGACATTTCAAATTTTCACCTGCCCCCCCTCCCTCTGCCATATGAACGCAGCCTTAGAAAGTACTTTCCTTTTTACCAAAAAAGGGCCAAAAATACATTTTTAGAATCTTGATATATTTTTTCATAATATTTTATTTGTTAGAGCAGACTGGTTATTTTGACAGCTTATGCTGACGTAGGCCTGCTTTCACTTTTTCCTTTATGCAACAAAATAATTTGATGCAAGTTGAACATCATGATATCTTGTTGCAAAAACAGCGTTCTACTTTCTGCGACAGACTTTTCAATTTGCAGCAAATTATKTTTTTGCTAGACAAGTTTGCACTCAAAAGGAAAAACATGCGGCATTGCTTTTCCACTTCGAGTTGTCAATTTTTTCGCTTGTATTACCATAGCTTAAGCAAACATATTTGTACACATATTAAGAAACTAAATAATTCACATGCATGCTATGTGAAGTTTATATCAAGTGTGGATCGTCACAACATGAGAAAATTGTTAGGACAAGCATGAACAAGGCTTAAAACATAAGTCAATCAGTTGCCAGTCATGATGACGCTAAATTAGTTT